GCTCTTTGAAAAAGAAAAATGTCAACACTGTTGTCAGTAGGAAAATTGGATTCAGGATATAATCCAGTGTTGAGGAAGGTATTTTGATCAGAAACTACAGTGAATATAAAAGAGGAAAGCAACTGTCCTAACCAAACAGTAATGCTAGTGACTATATACTGAGCGAGTAACTAGAAGTTTGTAAGCACACTAGAAGTTTGTAAACAAATATACAAATGAACAAAAGCCTTTTAAAAAAAAAACTTCAGAGTGAGGCTATTTGTGTAGGCTTTTTCCCATTCTAAAAACAAATGGCTAAGCAGAACAATGCAAAGCCTAGGAATCTGGAAGCCTGAGTACCACTCTAAGCCCTGGTTATTTTCCCAGGCTAACATTTTATCCTTTTTATTTTTTTTTTATTGTCAGTCCTGGGACTTAAACTCAGGGGCTGAGCAAAAGAGGCCTCAAAGCTAGCACTCTACCACTTGAACCACAGCACCATTTCCAGCTTTTTCTGTGTATGTGGTACTGAGGAATCGAACCCAGGGCTTCACACATGCTAGACAAGCACTCTACCACTAAGCCACATTCTCAGCTCAAACATTTATTATTTTAAATTCTTATCTGTAAAAAGAGATTTCTGAGATAAACAAGGAATTCTTTAGTCTTTGTTAGTACTAAATTTAGCGCAAACTATGAAAAACAAATCCCTACAATTTATATTAGTTTATATCATTTAGTCATTCTGATTTTGTTAGTCCAAAGTTAAATGATGAAACTACTTTTTCCGCATCAGAAGATTCAAAGAGCTAAATGACTGCTAATCTGTAACATAAATTACCAGCACCATTATCTTTCAGAAGTTGAAGAGGGAGAATAAAAGCTTTACTATAACTCATAATCTTCACTGTAAGAGAATCCCTGCTTTAGATAAACAGAACAGGAGGCAATTCATTCATACTTCAGTGGCAACTGTGTTGCTTCTTACAAGATGTACCTCTACCTGAGAAACAGACTTCAATCTGTAGAACCCAACCTCAAAAAATGGTAGGAGTCAAAGCCTTTCCCAATTAAGACTACTTTGCTCCATTCACTAGTTACTGTGCAGTAATATACTTGAGACTCATAAGGACTGGGGCTTCACAGTTCTAAAAAATGTCAACAGTTGCAAGTTATACAAGACGTGGATCTTTTTTCTTTTTTGGTCCAGTCATGGGGCCTGAACTCTGGGCCTGGGCGCTGTCCCTCAGCTCTTCAGCTCAAGGCTAGCGCTCTACCACTCTTGAGCCACAGCACCACTTCCAGCTTTTTTCTTTTTTGCTTATGTGGTGATGAAGAATCGAACCCAGGGCCTCATGCATGCAAGGCACTCTACCACTGAGCCACCTTCCCAGCCCAAGATGTGGATCTTTTTACCTCAGATTTGGAGTTGGGAGTTAAAACTGAGGTCCTATCTAAAGATGAGAAAGTCTGTCAGATAAATGTTTTTCACATAAGACATAGATTTGTTACCCTAAAAGATTCAATGCACATGAGACATAGGTTTGTTACCCCCCAAGATTCAATAATACCATGAGGGTGGGTTTGATATATAGAGTATTTCTTCAGGTGGTTTGAGGAGTTAATTCTCGGAGGAAAAATTATTCAGAGAGAGGACTTCACTTTCATTCAGAAACATGTAAGACTTCAGGCATGAATAAATGACAGCCACAACTCAATCTGTATGTGATACTTTCTGATAATCAAGCAATAAAAATTATCAATAGCCACCAAGGTGTTTGTTTTTAATCACTGTACTTACATAATTCAATAAGTGTTACTTGTATTGCATAAATACAATCATTTTGAAAGGCTTATTCAAAATGATCAGCAAGGTATAGTTTGTTCATACCTAATGTTACTCCATTTTAAGAAATAAATAATGAAAATAAAGAACATGGCAAATATGCACAGCCAAGCTAAAATACCTTTCATGTTTGAGTTCTGATTTCTTAAAACCATTATGAGGAAAAGAAGAATGTTATGTTTGTTATATGTGTACAATGCAATTTTATTAGTCTTCAGAGTACCATAAATGCTTTTCAGTACATAATAAATGCATACAATTATGTAGTTTACACATTTCTTTATAGTGAATAAAATTTCTAACCAATGAAGTATTTTTTTCATCTTATATTAGAAAAACTTAACTTTTCTATAGCATGGTAATATTCAAACAGAAAAAAAAAAGAATAACTGCTTTTCAATACACTGTACTATCCATATGAACATATTCAAACTCTCCTGAATTGAATGTAAAAGGAGATGGGGGGACGGGGAGAGTATATATACGAACAACAGAAGGAATGAATATGATCAGAGTACATTACATGCATGTAGGGAAACACCACAATGAATTCCTCACACTGTACAATTAACATGTGCTAATGAAAATGTGAAAAAGTGGAAACAGATAAAAAGAAATTAAAAGGAATTTAGGGCATAATGTACACTACCATGAATCCCCAAACAGAAAGTGGATGCATCTATAGTAAGACATTGAAACAGCTTTTTACTAAGCTTTGATATTTACAACAATTTCAGATTCACAGAAAAATTGAGATGAATGGAGACTTCCTATATATCTCCTGCTTCATTCAGACATATCCTCCAAGTATAGGTTTTCCCACCACAGGGGTTGGGAAGGTGGCTCAGTGGTAGAGTGCTTGCCTTGCATGCATGAGGCCCTGGGTTCGATTCCTCAACACCACATAAGCAAAAAGAAAAAAGCTGGAAGTGGTGCTGTGGCTCAAGTGGTAGAGTGCCTTGAGCTGAAGAGCTGAGGGGCAGAGCCCAGGCAGAGCCTTGAGCTGAAGAGCTGAGGGGCAGAGCCCAGGCCCAGAGTTCAGGCCCCACGACCGGACCCCAAAAAAAAAAAAGTTTTCCCACCACAGGGGAACATTGGTTATAAATGCTGAACAATAACAGCCAGATCCTTATCCCTAAAGCCCATAGATTATATTAAGATTATTATAGATATTGTATATTCTAGAGGTTTGGACAAATTTATAATGAAAGGTATGCACCATTGTTCTATCATATAGGGTATTTTCACTGACAAATAATGTATAATGATATCAATTTGTCATCTAACCAATAACTACTAATATCAAATATTCTTACTATGCTTTGTGGTTGTTTATCATCTCCAACTATACTACAAAATGCATAAATAATTTTGGCTTTCTTGAAGATATATACTTCTTAAGGAAAACAAAAACAAAATGGAAATACAAAGAAAGCCATAATCGAATAATTTTAAAATGGAACTTAATTTTAGAATGGAAGTTATATTAACTTTTGGTCAAGCTTTCTTTTTATGTTGCTCTTAAATCTTCTTCAATTTAGATTTTCTTTATATAAATATATAAGCAAATATATTTATCCTCCCTTGCTACCTGCCCCTATAAATTATGTAAGGTAATAAAACACTTGGTAGCAAGACATAGCACAAATCATTAATTCTTTATTTAGAATTTTTCAAACTAGCGGTGAGAAAGAATAGCAAAAGCTCAATGCTGCTATGTAGAGAAAACTAGCAAGTCATGGTTAACCTAAGCCATAAACCTGATTGTGATATTACTTTTGTCTTGTTTTCATGTTAAGTTACTAGTCTTGATACCCCATTTTCACTTCCATGTGCTACTCTAAGAAAATCAACTCCCATCCTCTGAAAGGTCCCTGATAGAACACCCAAAATTCCTAGAAGCAGCTGCTAAATTGCTGATACTGTTCAATGTTCACAGAATCTTAGTCGAATTCTTTCAGATTTCCTTGACTTACCTGTATTTATTTAATTTCCAGAATTCTTTATTATAAATTCATTAGAAGATCACACATGGAAAATCTTTTAATATGCTACACAGCATAAGGACTTAGCTTAGTGCTTATTTTTATTTATAAAAGTATTTAGCTTACCAGCCAATACCAGATGTTCACTACATCTCCTTCATCATTACAAGTGTGGCCACAAAATAGTATTTGTGTTTCAAAGAAATGCCTAGACTCAGAAAAATCTTCCAATGTATGGAAAACGAAAAATTAGATTTATACTTTCTAAAATTGTAGAGATTGATGCATATAGTAGATAAACCATACAAATTTAAATTAAAAGTAATGAGATATAAAAATAATTTAACTAGTAAGCAGAAACTGAAGTCAGAGTACTGCCTTTCTGCACCTAAAAACAAGGATTCACTAATGTCTAGAATGTCTCTAATGGCACTATCATGAAGAGGAAAACACTGTTCCAAAAGGAATTAACAAATAGATAAGAAGTGCTCCAAACCAGTAGCCGAAAATAAAATAACTTCATACTATTAAACAACTGGATATATTTATCCAGTCCTGCCTACAAGCTTCCTGACTGTCTTACAGAAGCTCTATATTTACTAAGAATTTGCTAACATAATTAATCATTTCAAGGCTACCAATGAAGAGACTTCTTAAATAGGACATATTAACTCTAACACGAAATATCATTTCAACTATAAAGAGCGCACATATTTTCCTTTTTCTTTCCCTCACTTTCCAAAGCGAATGTCAGCAATGAAATCATTCAAAACAAAATCCCTTTCAGCCACTTTTAATTTATAGTCACCATATGTCTACTTCCACACTGAGACCGAACTATAGATAAATTTTCATCATGCAGGGCATACTCCATATATTGTCTTTTAAGTTTTTAACTTTGATTGCAAGGAAATTTAATGCTTTATCATTAATAGCTGTTGAAAAATAAAGGCTACTCTCATAATTGATAACGTCCAGCTAAACTCCTGCTCTGGTATCATCAGCCAGGGATACAGCTCAGGGACAGCACCTAGGCCCAGAGTTCAAGCCAAAGGACCAGAAAAACAAACAGTGAACTGTGGAACTGCATACAAGAGCATGAGAGCAATCTTATCTTTCCTTGATTTAAAGGCATTCACAGTAGATAGTGGGAAAAGAGGAGTAAAGCATTATTAAAATACACTACGTACTGCTGTCCATGCATTTCTTTTGCAGCGGGCACATAGCCATCCATCATAGATCTCATGAGAAGGGACACCATAACAACCTAAAAAATAACACATATCTGTGTGTTGCATCTTTAAAGCATTACATATCTCAACATGAAAATACATAAAGCCAGGTCAACTATCTACCAAACTGTTCTTGACTCCCACTGCTTAGAAAAAACAAGCAAATCTGTCTTAAAGATATTTCCAGGGTGTAGTGAGGGAGGTAGGGGAGGGAAGAGATAATGGGAAAACAACAAGGAAAGGGGTAACAATGCTTGAGAAGAAATGTATTCATTGTCTTACTCCTAACTGTAACCCCTCTGTGCAGCATCTTTACAATGAAATAAATTTTAAAAGTATTTCTAGTTCTCAAGCATCATAATCAATAAGATATTAGTCCCAGGAAAAATTAATATCAGTCTTGATATTAATCTAACTAGTTCTTATAATATTATCACAGAGGTAGAATTTCTAAGCCAAATTTATTCAATTCATACATAAAAACTTCAAATTAAAATGCAACTCATAAAGCAATTTTTGGGAATGTTAAAATAACAGTAAATACATTTGACATACTACTTTTAAATTAACAAATTAAAATTACACTTCAAAAATTAAATTAGCTTTAATTTCAGTGATGGGGCAAAGGCTACACAGTCTGTGATCAGTGTAAAGGAATGTTTTCAGTTCAATGTCTGGTTCAAAATAAATAAGGAGATGACTGATGGTATAAATATATGCAATAATTATATAGCAAAAAGCAACATATATTACTGTTTGATTCTCGTACTGAAAATAACAATTAATGAAACAAGTAAACATGTGTAATTGCAGTAATTTGGAGGCTGAGGCAGGATGAACTCAAATTTGAGATGGCCAGTACTATACAGTAAGACTATCTCAAAGGGATAAACAGAAGATGAACAGAAATGAGACAAGAGGAAGAAAAGAAGAGAGATGGGGAGGAAGGGAAAGGAAAGGACCTGGTACCCTTACAGAAGAAAGAGTTTTGGAACAATTTCAATTAGCAATTTCTACCAGGAGATTTCAATCACAATTGAGATAGGAGCAAAAACAAGAGATGTGATTAAACCAAAGAAAAGTCTAACATAGTTAACTGAGTTTATAAACTACGCAGATAAAGAATATGTTTATGAGATATTGTATAGCTAGTGCATTCAGGAATCAAGATTAAGTCCCTCCTTTTTGTGTGCTCGGCCTCTTGAATGTACATAATAATTTAGGTTGGACTCATGAATATGTATGTGTATTACAACTTGATACCTATACAAAAAGAGACTAGTATCATATTCCAAGCACATGATGCTTGAGAAGGAATGAACCTAATTAATAATTATAAGAGGATATTTCAACTCTAATATAAGACTATTATTGCTGTGTTTAAGAAAGATGATATGGGGCTGGGAAGGTGGCTCAGTGGTTGAGCGCTTGCCATACATGCATGAGGCCCTGGGTTCGATTCCTCAGCACCACATAAGCAAAAAGAAAAAAGCCGGAAGTGGCACTGTGGCTCAAGTGGTAGAGTACTAGCCTTGAGCTGAAGAGCTGAGGGACAGCGCCCAGGTCCAGAGTTCAGGCCCCACAACCGGACCGAAAAAAAAAAAAGAAAGATGATAATAATTCTATTATAAATCATTCAAACTACTTCCATAGCAATAGACTATACATAAGTATATTAAAAGAAAATAAAATGCTCAGAGCTAGAATACATAAGGCCCTGAGTTGGATCCTAGCACCACTAAAAAGAAAAAAGGAAAAGGAAACAGGTGCTGGTGGCTCACACATGTAATCCTAGCTACTCAGGATGAGTTCTGAGAATTGCAATTCAAAGCCAGACTGGCAGAAAAGTCCATAAGACTCTTATCTCCGATTAATCATTGGAAAACTGGAAGTAGTGCTGTTGCTCAAAGTGGCACAGCACTAGCCTTAAACAAAAGAACTCAGGGACAGTGTCCAGGGCCTGAGTTCAAGCCTCACAGCCAACAGAAGAGAGAAGAGGGAGGAGGAGAGGGAGAGGGAGAAGAGAAAGTGGGGGAGAGAGAGAGAGAGAGAGAAGGGGGGGGAGGGAGGGAGGGAGAAAGGGGGGGTTGGAGGGGGGAAAAGAGGAGAAGGAAGCGTAAAGGGGGAGAGGGGAGAGGGAGGGGGAAGGGGGAGGGCATGAGGAAGAAGTGAGGGAGGGGAAGGAGAGGGGAGAAAGTGGGGGAAGTAGTAATGCTGGTATTGGTGACAGAAATATGGAATAATGCTTTAAGACACAGTTAGTAATAGATTCCTTCAAACATTCTGCAGTATTTCCATATTAAGCCAACTTTTATATAAAAATACCACGTTGATTAATAAAATATGTGGCTGAACCATTTCCTTCCAGGGGGAAAAAATGTATTTTAATGATAGTTCCCCTTGGAAATCAGGTGAAAAATAAAACATTTAGCTCAGTAAAACCATAACTCTGTCACTAAGGGACTATTCATTTCTCTCTAAAAAAGCACAAAGAAATATAATTATCAGTTGTCAGACATTCAAATTAAGTTCTTGCAAACCAATATCTTAAAGTAAGCAAAATTCAAATACATGAGAAGTGCCCTATGATGCACCTGGAATCCAAACAGAAACTCCAGACCTGCTCTCCACTGGCACTGCAGAAAACTGGAGAGAAAAAGAAGATTACCTAGTCATCCTTTCACTAGAAGAAATGTGAGAATCAGCCAATAGTTCAGTGCAATAGATTTGACAGGTTCCAAAGAGGTGAGAAACAAGGAATAGGAAAAGCACAGAAAAGCCAGTGACTGAAAAATTGTAGACATATTTACTTGCATGAACTCGTACACAGCACTTCGCACAGGAAATCAGAAGACTTGTTCCGTCCTCTTCCAGGAAGGCATTAGGTGGGGAATATTCTATGTTTTCTTCACTATAAATAAAACACATCTCTGGAATGAGGGGCTTAGTCTTTCCTCCCAAAGTAACCACTTCATTCAATTTTGTCTCCCATCTCAAATCATTTTCTTCATTGCTGCTATCTGGCTGAAAAACACAACATTTCAAATGATTGGAAAACATGAACAGTTAGAGCTCATTTATTCTAGTCACTCGAAGCTATTGTTCTGGTCACTGACAGATTCTACTTTGGTTCTTCCTGTTGGTCTCCTTAGCCAAACTACTAGCTTTTTATCAGTCCTTCTAGACTTTCATACAATATCAAACGTTTAGGAACAAGAGAATGTTCTGCTCAAAGAAGGAAATGATAAACTACTAAAACAGTTCTTCCAGAAGTGGTTCATAGAAAGCATTAATTATCAGATAAATTGTTTTGCCTCTTTATTTGCACCAGAGTAAGACCTGGTTTCATTTAATGAAAAATATTACCTGGTTACCTTTGAAGAAGCGTTTTCAAAGACCCCAGTTTGAATCTAGACAACAGCATTGAGAGGCTTCAAAGCCATTTGCCTCCTACTAAGGCTTAAGTAGAAAGAGGCAGAACTGGTACATGAGACCAAATAAGAAAGGATTGTGTGCCAAACAAAACTGTCACTCCCACCAAAATATGTGAAAAATGTTTAGCATTTATTTGAAACTATAACTAATAAATTATAATCGTCAGAGATTTTATATTAATAATTTCCCAAATCTTTTCTTTTCAATAGGAAATTTTTTGATTATATAGAAATAGGCAAATTAGGACGTCAAAATAAGAATCAATAAAATTTAGTGACTGAAGCAAAATTGTTTGTCACTCACCAGAGCCACATTCAATAACAAGAAGCAAGCCAAATAAAGTAGCTCAAGCCTGTAATCTCAGCCACTTGAAATTCTAAGATTCAGGGGAATAGTGATTTAAGACCAGCCAGAGAAAAGAAAAAGTTCACAAGAGTACATCTTGATCAACTGCTGGACACAATAGCATGTTGTCTATTTTCCAAAGCTATCAATGCAAAAAGAAGCTTAGTGGAATGTCTCCAGTGGCAGAGCTCCTGCCTTGCCAATATGAGGTCATGTGTTCAAATCTCAGCACTCCCCCTCAAAAATATAAACTATCCTATTCGTAAAGTCTAAAAATGTGAAACATCACACATTCACTTCCTGTGAAACATCTGATACAAGTGTTTATTCTTACATTGAGCTCTAAGAAAGATGTCTTGTACCTTTGAATCTATTAATGAAAGTATGACCATAAAAGACAATATTCATATATTTTATACCTTAAAACATACCATATAATTCTACCCTGACAGGATTCCTAAAGATATATCTTCACTGTTAGGACTGAAGAATGTGGCTCTGCCTTAGCTGAGAGGCTGTCAGTCAACGTGCATGACATAATGATGGAAATAACATCAGTGAGAACTGGCTAATGGTGGTGAACTGGACAGCTGATGTTCAAATCCAGTCCTGGCTGTGATTTTTGCATGTTCCACATGGGAAGGTGAAGAAAGGCATTTAAAAATTAGGGTCTACATTGCCATTTATCTTACTTGAGAGTATCATTTCAAACTTAAACAGAGACAAGGTCAGCGTTTTCTCTCTATATAAAGTTATATGCTTAAGCTTTCAGCTGGGTGTTTCTTGTAAGTTTGGAATTAAATGCTCCCCTGAAATAAACCAACATATCCAAAAAAGACAAAGTACTGCCAGAAACACAGCTTCTTAAGAAGCATGTAGAAATAGTTCTTTGTTCTATGAAGGCCATTACCGTCTCCTTTTTGATATAATACAAAGTCTACAATGACCGCCAGTGATCTCAGCAGCAAGCAGTGTCTGCAGCAAGCAGTGAAAAGGTATGTTGACAACCACATCCCAATTACCTTATAGTATGGCATGAGCAGAGTGCAAATGGCACAGTGTGGCTCCATCTTTGCTACAGCAGCATTATACTCTTGCTCAGCCACAAAATTGGGAGATTTTGTTTGCCAAAGATGAATGAGAGGCTTTGCCCAGGATTCTGTTTCTTCTACTTCTTCCTCAGTAGATGGGACCTCAGGCAATTCTTTGGGGGAAAAGAATAAAAATACAATGAGCAAGACATACTATGAGGACTAGAGGCTAAGAATGGAGAATGGAGAATTAACATGAAACTTCTAAATACCAGTAAGGCCTTAACACATAAGCTAATGTCTATTACATATAGTGAATGAATGGAGGTGTAGCTTGCCTGGCAAGAACTAGTCTCTGGTTTAAGTCCCCAGTACAGAAAAAGAGTAGTGAGAGGAAGAGAATTGAGGGAAAAAGGAAAGGATCAGGGGACAAAGACAAGAAATAGGAAAAGGAAAAAATAAAGGAAGAGGGTTGAAAAGGAAAGAAGAGAAGAAAACACAGAAAAGCAAAATCAAACCAAGCCTTTCAGAGAGCTTCAAAATATTTAAGAATAAGAGTTCCTAAAATCAAAAAGACTAATAACTACTTCTATACCCATGTGTATATTAGTATCACAGTCACTGTTGAGCAGTTAAAACTTGATAAAAAAAAGAAAAACAACCTGATGTAGACCATGTTATTGCAACCAAGCAAGAATTTCCAAATCTGGTTAATCAACCTACGAATCTTCAAGAACAACAGAGTCAAGACTATAAAGCAGCTTCCTATCCTCTTGATACCTTCATTAAAATCTGCAAAGTTTGCCAGATATCAGAGAAAATGGTTTCTATGCCATTCACTTAATTTGCTTTTTAATTCCTCAGTAAGCCTCCTACTTCATGGTAGAAACTCAAGACTTCAAAATTGTCCCAAAGGAAAAAAAAAAATGCAAAGCCCTGTAACAGGTATCATACAATCAAGAGAAACATGAACCCAAACATGAAGTCCTTTAATCTGCATGAGCACTTCTGAATTCACAGAAACAGCTTCTAATAGCTCCAAGCTCCAGATCTTTTTGAAATGTTGTGCTGCATAAGGAATTTTAAACAATGGTTTAAGGAACCATTTTGTGAAATATGGCCAGGCCTGTAACTAATACCACTGTGAAGGAGAAATGGGGAAATCATACTATCTTGAGTAAATGTAATGACATGACCTCTCAAAAATACTGCCAACACACTGTCAGCACCTACAATAGCTCTCTGAAATTACCTAATTGTCCTATCGCTAAAAACAATAAACAGTTCTATCTTATAAAAGAGCATGCCATAATGCCAAACATATCAATTCACAGGTCACATATACCATAGAGTGAAAGTGTTGTTCACAGGAGTATTCTGAATAATACTTCTGAAACCAAACATTATCTATTATTCTGAACATTCTAGGATTAACAGCTCTTAATAGGAAAACTGGCTATGCACACTAACCTAATAATAAAGCTAAAAGATATATGAATTAAACTAAAAATATTTTCCTTATCTATGTCATATCTGGGGATTGAGAAATAACCACATTTTCTGCCTCTACATTTTCTTATACATAAATTCACAATAATTATTTATCACAGCAAATATGTCTTTAATGCATCTTCAAAAGCATCCTCCCTGATTACTATTTAAGTCATACCTGTCCCTCCTTAGGACCATAAATAAAAGAACAATAGAGTCTCAATGGGATAACCTGATGTTTGTCTTGGGCTTGATATTTAACCCCAATATCTGAGAGTCAGTACGAGCTCTGATACTGACTGGATGACAACAGCAAGCTCAGAGGGACTTCAAGGGAGACTCAACGCACATTTAACGAGGAAGAGGAGACCCGCTAAATTCAAGTAGAGAACTCAAGAAATCCTAAAATGTTTCTGATTCTAAAGACGTGTTGCAATTAACTATCAGAATCTTAGGGTGTTCAGAAAATTTTTTAAAGGTTTCCAATTAATACTGATTTGTAGTACCCTATAAATTAATAAAATGACCAAAGATGAAAGACAGGACACCTTGAGAAGGTGCAAATATTTTTATTGTAATTATTAAGTATTCCTAGTTGCTTTTTATATGAATCAATTTATATTGTTTTTAACAAAAGTATATCTATAGCTTTTAAGAGCATTATATGATTTCTTGTTTCTTTTGTATTTTCCCCCTAGGGTTTATCTCCTATTGTCAATATATTTGATTTTGGTACCCTGGGTATTGTATATACATTTATCTGAATTAGGGAAGGGAAGGGGAACAACAGAATGGTAAAACAAAGGACAAAGAGGGAACAAATGCAAAAGCAATAGTCACAAGACAATATGTTGGAAATGGGCTGTAAAACTGGGGTGGAGGGGTGGCCTAGGGAAGAGAGGGCAACTGAGAGAAAAATGAGGGAAGTTTGACAAAAAATGTACTCATTACCTTGTGTATGTAACTGTAACCCATCTGTACATCACCTTGACAATAAAATTAAAAAATAATCTTTTTTAAGGTAGAGCTCTGATCTAACCTATTCAAATAAAATAACTGCTTCATTCATAAAAATCCAAACAACCTTTGGCCTGGTTATAAATGCGTACAAGTGTAAATCTCAGTTTCTCCATATGCAAAATGAGTATAAGATTAACTAATTTTTGAACAGATTATAGGAGTCCACCATAAAGCTGCTACTCAGGGCCATGCACAGATTGGGACTGATCATGCCTTCACTACTTGGACTCCTGGCCTCTAGAACTCCACTAACACCTTTACATAAGTCACCTAGAAAATCACATTAATAGGCATACCTAAAAATACAAGCCTTTAAAATTAATAAAAATAACAATCAGAGCCTGCCTAGCCTAACACCCACTTATCTCTGAAATATAAAATTTCCCACTAAAGTTTTTATCATTTCAGAGAAAGAAAAATGCCTTTATTCTACCAGTCACTCAAAAACATCACTGAATATCACGCGTGATAGTAAAGATTAATGTCCAGTACCAAAGTATCCAAAAGAACTATCTTTTAAGAAATATGAAAATAAATTATGGCATAACCATATTAGGCAGGCAATAAAAATATTTTCAAGATTAATGAAATATAAATATACACATTATACATTATATATACATTATACAACATAGAATACTAAATCAACAGACTTAAAAACAGAACATAAAAGTATATATACATAAAAGTATATATACTCCTACCAAAAACAGACTAAAAAGAATAAAGGGAAGGAATAAATTGGTATAATTATAAATACAGACAAACTTTAAAAACTACAGCCAGAGTAATATTAGGATTTTAAATGAGGGAAATTTTACATTCAGAACAGACTTAGGTCAGATTCATTCACTTGCTCAGTATGCTCTCTCTGAACTAAGCATAAGCAGTTTCTCTAAAGAAAAACATTTGTGCTATTTGTGTGGCTGCTGTCAGGCTGTGCTGATGGAATTAGCAGATGGGGAAAACCATCGGACAATTTCCCTCTTCCAGGCACACAAGGATGTGCTGCATGGGGCTCCCATGTTTTGGCTGGTACAGCGCCATTCTCTGCTAAGAACAGCACAGCAGTATCTGTTATGTTTCACATACTTGAGCAAAATCTCAGTCCTGGGAGGCATTACATATGCTTTCAAACATCTTGGAGAAAAGGGGTGAAATGGAAAGGGAAGATGTATACAAATGAAAGCAGGAATGAATGGGTTACTCAAAAAATGCAAGAGAATATTCAAATTTCAGAACTTTATTCTTCCTGTACTGGAGACTACATGCAAACTACATTTCAGTGACTTTTTTAATTGATGGCTTTCAAATTCTTTTTTTTTTGTGTGTGTGGGGGGGGGGGGGGAGGGAGGAGGTCCGGTCGTGGGGCCTGAACTCTGGGCCTGGGTGCTGTCCCTCAGCTCTTCAGCTCAAGGCTAGCACTCTACCACTTGAGCCACAGCGCCACTTCCGGCTTTTTTCTTTTTGCTTATGTGGTGCTGAGGAATCGAACCCAGGGCCTCATGCATGCAAGGCAAGCACTCTACCACTGAGATACCTTCCCAGCCCCTTCAAATTCTTATAAAGGTGGGTTCAAAAGGACAAAAGAAAAAAATTACAAGGCTTTTAGGAATGATTTTCATGGAGTGGTTGACATAGAGTGAATATTAAATTCCAGATTACTTTCTCTTAATATGCCACTATGATAATAGATAGCAGATAATTTACAGACCTAAGGCACTTAAGAAATTAAATAAGTGGAAATAATTGCGGGTTTGGAGAGTATGCTTGTTTTAGGTTTTAGTTCTTGTTTTGGTTTTGTCTGGGGATGTTTGCTTGTTTGTTTGTTTTTTGGTTTTGGCGGGGGTTGGTTTGGTACTACTAGAGATTGAAATAAAACCAATGTCTTCCATAGATTAAGGAGTTACTCTCCACTGTTAACAATTCCATCCTTCATGCATTACCTTTTAATAACACATCAAAAAGTTTTAAGTAATTCAACTGATAAAATATATGTTTTTCAAAAAAGACACACAAGGCTGAGAATGTGGCTTAGTGGTAGAATATTTGTATAGCCTGCATGAAGCCCTGAGTTCAATTTCTCAGTACCACATAAACAGAAAAAGCCAGAAGTGGCTCTGTGGATCAAGTGGTAGAGTGCTAGCCTTGAACAAAAGAAGCTCGGGGCAGTACCCAGGCTCAGGACTGGCCAAAAAAAGACAAACGAAAGGGGTGACATCCATCAAGTTGCATCGTACTTATAAACTGGTTTGTTGAATACCTAAAACACCTTCCAAATGATACACCTTCAAAACTTCTTTCGCAGGAAAATATCTTGATAATTATGGCACCTCTAGAGAGGTATGTTTCTTAGGGAAAATGAATAGTACTAGTGTGGCTTAAATTTCTTAATGAATGATATCATAATTTTGATAATTATACCTTAAGATATATTGATCAAAACAAGAAATGTGGGACAGTTGACTTATTCAATCTTATTAGATATTCCAATGGGCTGATTTCAGCTCTTAGTCAGTACTAGTAAGACTCTGCTAGTGTGATAATGCAGAAATAGTATCAACTTTGGAAGAAAACAGGCAGCATTTAAAACTTGTTATAGGGGCTGGGAAGGTATCTCAGTGGTAGAGTGCTTGCCCTGCATGCATGAGGCCCTAGGTTC